AATCCAAGATATTTTCATTTTATGGATTAAATTAAATGTCAGTAAACTGTCCATGTATATGTTTGACAGTCTGCACAGGCACTGGGTGCACATTTCTGCTGTTATTATAACTCGTTTATATAAGTCATGCTTAAAAAATGGTACTTAACACGCGTGTGAATGAGCAAGACTGCTGCTCTGACCCTCTTTCACTGTATGTGCTTGTAATGTAGATGGCTGGAGTGTGTGTGTCTGTGTGTGTGTGTGTGAACAAGAGAGAGAGAGAGAGAGAGAGAGAGAGATGAAGCTGTTCTCAAACAAAGTGCAGCAGAAATAATAGCGACTGTTGTTTTGAGTCACAAGGTTCTCGTGGCTCAGTGCTGAATGAGAGCATTGAAAACATCCACCTACACACACACACATACACATGCGCACACAGAGCTCACTGACACTGATAGCGCTGACATGTTGCAGCACTACAGACCGAAGCAGCTGCCCGAGTTTGATTATTACTGTTGCTGAAGAAGAAAAGCAGATCTGAATGAATCTGATTGTCTTTGACCCTTTAATGCCTTTGAATCATATTTGCTACATGAGTTTCTGAGACCTCTGTCTCATCAACATGATCAATACTTGCCATAATGTCTAAATGTTATGGACAAAACTCTTTTTTTTGTCTAAAATTAACATTGTTGTTAACAAAAAGTTGCCAAAAACACCCAAGGTATCAATTGTGATACAAAAAATATATAATAAAAATATATCACACACAACATGATATAGCAAAAAAAATTGTGGATTTTGTTATAAGGGTTAATAAATATCTCAGTTCCAAAAAAATCAGAATTTTCTGGCGATTTTTTTGATGGGTTTGGTCTTCGACATCATACATTGTTCGTAGGTGTCTGTGTAGAGCTGTCCTCCCTCCTTCACTTCCATCAGATATGAAAATATTCTCTCTTGAGATGATTTATACAATCGGCTCCTTTAGGAACAAACTCAGTTGAATGGGTGATGTTTTTGCACCAAATATCGACGCCACTGCTTCATAATGATGCACCTCGTCCCAACGACAAGAGTCAGTCCTGCTTCAGAATACACTTTTAAAATCTCAGAGTTGCTTTCTCATGTGCAGAAATGTTCACGTGGATTGTGATTTTCACCAAAAACACACAAAAAAC